AAGTGGTGTGCTAAATTTTCATGCGACTGTAAGTATTCATTAGCATGCATCCAGTCATTAACTCAAGAATTCCCTAAGACTGAATTATGTGACAAACCAAACAAAATTTGCAACAAAATTTGCAGTACATTTTATTTGCAATCTCTGAAAAAAAATACATCGTTGTCACAGAGACGCTTCATCTCTTTGCATCTTTTGGAAAAGATTGTACTGTTTATTAATAGGATGTCATGGCCCGTTCATAATGGTGAGACCACCTTCAGCTAATGATAATTCATGTGGCCACTATGCTGGATCATTGTAGTTGTCGTTTGTTTTGGGAGAGTTTTCAAATGTGCTTTCAACATTCTAGTATTCCCTTCTGTGAGTGTGGCATTGTTGCCTAGGTCTAAGTCTTCAAACACGTTTCAGTTGACTTCGTGATAAATGGTGCTCAGCTCTCACTCCAAGAAGCTGTAGCTGGTTGGTCAACGGACAGAAAAGCGGAGAGAGCTACGTAATGTGAGTCTCCCAGAGCATGGCAAGACATGTAGAGCGCCCTGGTCATTCACTGCACCTTATCCTGTCTCCAGCCATCTTGTCTTGCCGCTGGACTCAGATGGCGTTGGGGGAGAGAATGAGGTATAGACGATTAGCGCAACTCTTCCTCAATCAAATCCAACGCATAGCGCAAGTCATCTTAAACATCCACCCATTGCATCCTAGTTTTTTTGTCCAATCATCTAAAATCTACAATATCCTGCGACGATGGCGTGGCGTCGAAGTGGCAGGCGTCGTTACACCGGAAGCCGTAGTCGCAATCCTGGCGGCTCAAGCCAGAGGGTAGTTCATCACTGTAGAGGAGCAGTAGTGAAGTCCGTTAGCCACATCAGCGACCAAGCACCCCTCTTTAGGAATACACCGCTCACCTCCATGGCATGATGAATGGGCTAGAAAAGGTGACCTAAACATTGTCTGCTCCACCATTCCCTATCAAGCATATACTTCATTTGGAGGGTACTCTATGTATGCGGTCGAAATTCAAATTCAAACTAAAAATAAAATGTAAAAAGTCAAAACACAAGATCAAAACTATCTCACTAAAAATAGTTATTTAGAATATGCGGTCTCTTCAGGAAAAGGTTGATATACCGCAGAGAACATACCTTATATGAAATTAACTAGCCAGGTACAAGGTATATGCAACCTTCAGTGAGAGTCGGCTTGCAGGAAATAGCGAAATCTACGAGAGGGGCTCTTGATACACCTTCTTTTGTAGTGGCCGAGAAAGCGAAGAACGCCGTGAGAATGATGTTAGTTTTGCTATCAAATATGGATTGATTAGCATGCTGACTGGAGTTCCAAAGGGAGTCAACGAAAGCACAACGAAATGAAACTCCATCTTTGATGAGGAAGAAAACACCTCGCACCATTATCAGCTGCTAGGCTCCAACAAATGACCCACACAGAAGAAGAAAAGACCAAGTTATATGATAATCTTCACTCTGTCACAGCTGATGTTCCGAGGTACGGCAAGCTTATAATTCTTGGTGACCTCAATCATCAATCACGCTGCTTCGAATGGGTACTGTGAAAGTATGGAGTGGGTCATTGCAGCAGTAACGGTATCCTCTTGCCCCAGATTTGAGCTGAGCGAGAACTGCTAATTATTCATTCAGTCTTTCACCTTCCCACTCGTCATCGGACATCCTGAGTGTTCCCTCGCTCAACACATTGGCATCTCATGACTGTGTCATCATCAGGAGAAAGGACTGGCGAGACATCGGACATCCTGAGTGTTCCCTCGCTCAACACATTGGCATCTCATGACTGTGTCATCATCAGGAGAAAGGACAGGCGAGACATCGGACATCCTGAGTGTTCCCTCGCTCAACGCATTGGCATCTCATGACTGTGTCATCATCAGGAGAAAGGACAGTCGAGACATCGGACATCCTGAGTGTTCCCTCGCTCAACACATTGGCATCTCATGACTGTGTCATCATCAGGAGAAAGGACAGGCGAGACGTGCGAGTAACCAAGTCTTTGGTGCAAACCGTTGGACAGATCATCGCTTTATCATCCCCAAGCTCAACCTTCACTTGCAACACAAAAGTCGACCACGGGGGAAGAAGATCCCCAAGCGTCTAAACACGACAAAGTTGAAGAGCCACAATACATGTATATAAAAAAAACCACTTTTGTGGATGCTCCGGCAGAGCGTCTGAAATCCACATCTCTAGATAATGACAACGTTGAATCAGATTGGGCATCCCTCAGAACAAAGTTGTTTAACACCGCTATGGAGTTTCTGGGACCAAGCGTAAAAAACCCATCAGAACTGGTTGGATGAAAGCTATATGGAAATCAAGCAACTGCTGGAGGTTAAACACTGTCGTCACACCGCCTATATCTTACCAATACGAAATCAATTCCCAAGGAAAGACGCATACATTAACATACGAAGAACTGTGCAGGAAAAACTACGTCAAATGCAAGCTAAACGGTTGAGTGACGGGGCTGACAATGCAGGTTAAACGGTTGAGTGACGGTGCTGACAATGCAGGTTAAACGGTTGAGTGACGGTGCTGACAATGCAGGTTAAACGGTTGAGTGACGGGGCTGACAATGCAGGTTAAACGGTTGAGTGACAGGGCTGACAATGCAGGTTAAACGGTTGAGTGACAGGGCTGACACGATCGAGGGCAATGCTGACAAACAGGATCTGAGAAATCTCTACACCGCTCTCAAAGAAGTATATGGCCCCAACTCATCAGGATCATCCCCACCTTGAGTGATGATGAGAAAACTGATTACTGAGAAAGAAAAAAAACCCATCTAACCCTGGGCAGAGCACTTTGAGCGCACTTTAAATCATCTGTCAATGGCGAAGCCAAAAACCGACTTCCACAAGTGCACAACAGCCTGGGAATTGAAGAAGGCCAGCACCCCTCCCCAACCCTAAATGGGACGCGACAAGCTTCTCTGGCAAAGCTCCAGGTGATTACTGAAATTACTCCATCGCAGCTGAAATTTATAAGGAAGGTGACACAGCTCTGTCTGAAAGGCTTCATTAACTGTTCCTATCTATATGGCAGCAAGAAAAGATACCACAAGATTTTAAGGACACATCCATTGTCCACTTGTGCTCACAACGCTACTATATGATATATGCATGACAAACATGGACAGTCCATTAACGTCATGTAAGGAAACTAAACCACTTTCACACGATGAGACTCCGAACAATCCTCAACATCAAATAGCAGGACAAGATCCCAGACACTGAGACACTCGCACAAGCAGGTCTGGCAGGACAAGATCCAAGACATTGAGGTACTCGCACAAGCAGGTCTGGCAGGACAAGATCCCAGACATTGAGGCACTGGCACAAGCAGGTCTGGCAGGACAAGATCCAAGACATTGAGGTACTCGCACAAGCAGGTCTGGCAGGACAAGGTCCAAGACATTGAGGTACTCGTACAAGCAGGTCTGGCAGGACAAGATCCCAGACATTGAGGCACTGGCACAAGCAGTCGAAATCGATCATGACCACCTTAATCATTGTATATGCTCTTTTTCTGTCATAAGTAAAATCACATAATAAACTCACATAGTTTCAATGCTTATTTCAAAACATGGAATAATTTTATAATCTGTCTAAAAGAAACTAAATATAGACCTACACACGGAGAAGAAAGACACAAATGCAGTCGCGTGGTTATTACAGCAATAGAAACGTTTTCAGATAGTTGCGTTCAGGGGCGTGACAAGCAAAAGCAGCGCCCCAGGCGAAGCCTAATAATGCTGCCCTCAATTAAAATATAGAAGAAAAAAGTGCCACTCGAGGTGAAGTAATGAAACTCTGATTTCTGGTGGCTTTATTTCATTGCATGGTTTACGTCACAAATACACCTTATAAAATAACTGATTGTTTGGGTGGTGAGAGCTCATAGTACCTACGCATTAGGGGGTGGGTGTAGTGATGCAACAGGGTGGGGGGGGGTTCTACAATAGACATTTTTTGCCCCTTTAAATAAAGTTGTACGATATCAGGTAAATTTATTTAAAGTAGCTCAGCACAGGGCCTGTGTGTTGGTCATTGAGTTATTGTTGGTAAAACATGGTCTTACTCTTACCTTGCTGATACTTGATCTGATTGAGTTTGTCTAACTCTTACCTTGCTGATACTTGATCTGATTGAGTTATTGTTGGTAAAACATGGTCTTACTCTTACCTTGCTGATACTTGATCTGATTGAGTTATTGTTGGTAAAACATGGTCTTACTCTTACCTTGCAAACAGATACTTGCTCACATTGAGTTATTGTTGAGTGACTGTAGAAAAGAATTTTATCACACTCAGAACAACGTTGTCTTTTACAGACATGAAATAGCAGTCAGCTTTCTTTTAAAAATAATGTTTAAGATTTTCTTTCTTATAAATGAACAGACAGCCCCAAAGGTTAAACTGATCACCTGTACCAAATGACTTAGTGACCACCCACAATTACGAATGGTAGATACTTTACTAGATTAGCCAAATACATTCTTAAAATTTTGTCATAATGCCTATCAAATAATTTTCTGAACTATTCGTTGACAATAGGATACTGACTAAGTCTGAGTGTATCGCATTCATTGATTCAAATAGAAATATTAATGTTCAACTTCTTTACTAAGCTAAGACTTAACTGCCTACTCAGAAATATTGAAAAAATAGTTGTAGTTGTAGGCTGTTAAATTGTCAGTAAACAAAATGTTCATAGCACCGTAATCCCACCTTTTGTGTTATTCACTGTTAACTAAGAAGAATTCCATGACCATCTTCTCCTTATTAACCAACCGTAATTTTCAGGTTCTTGCATGGTTTTTTTAAAAACTTGTCACAGCAAATTCAGCAATAATAAATATCCATATCCCTTGAATGGCATCAATCTTTTGTGATCCTGTCTTATTGGATGAGCAGCAGGGTTGCAACAAAAACATTTTATTTAAAAAAAAATTAAAACTCTACAAAAGTTGTAGCCATTCATATATATTTATTAATTCACATAATTAAATGCCAGTGCCAAGTAAGTAGTTCAACTATCTAGCTTCATTTTTTTTGCTAGTCTGTTCATAATTTTTTTTTGATATATCAAAGAATGCACATATAAGTAATTGTAAAGGAATATTTTGAAATGGAAAGGCACATAAAATGTACAATATTAAAGAGGAGTGGCGTTATTCAATTTAAGACTGTTAACATGGTGTCAATTGGGAATTATTAACTAATTTAATTGTACCTTTGACAGGCCAAGTCAACAAAGCAGTTTTAATTATTAAATTATTATTTTTCAATTAGAGTAAATATATTCAATAGAGTAAGCACTATCATAAACGTACAGGTATTTGAATTTATCTTCCGAAGCCTTTATAAACACCTACATTTTTGCTTGGAAATAACGAAAGAAAGTTATGCAGAAACATTTTTTAATCATTCTATTATTAAAATTTAGAAATAAAATTATGAAAGCTATTGGTTACATTATAATCGCATATAAAAAAAAAAGCCTCACAACTTCAGTCAAAGTAATGGATGCTTTCAGGTTTGGTTTTTAATAAAATTCAGGCTCAAAGAAATTGCAGTCGCCATTCAACATTAGGTGGCAAATACGGCTTGGATCGATTCTATGGGCATAGTCAATGTAAAACTGGCGATTGACAAAAACCTGAAATTAAGAAAGCAAATAATCATTGAAGTTCATTTATTAAATTATTTCAAGTTTTAGAAAGTCTGGAAAATCAATAACTTTAACACTTATTTTATAGTTAATGTCAGCCACCACTTAGAAATGTTCACTTCTATGATGAATACAATTCAAGAGATAAATGTGTAAACAACTTACTCTGAAGACATCAGACAATCTCAAAATGTTGATCTCAAATTTATCTTCAGGTTCAAATGGGAAATTGGGTTGTTCCTTCTCTTCTTCTCCCCATGAACCATTCTCTAAAGTGTTTCTGATAGAGTCCTCCCCAGCAAAGCGGGGGTTGAAGTGGAAAGCAACATCATTTCCGTAATCAGCATCATCCCCACATTGGAGATTGATAGCAAAGCGTTCAGCTTTCTTTTTTGGTGTACCGATGATGGAGATCCATGAGCCAGGTTCCAGAACTCCAGGGAGCCTGTCCACAAATGGCTTTTCCTACAAGAAGAGATAAAAACATTTTTTCATGGCGATATCGATTTAAAAAAGAAAAAAAAGAAAAGAAAACAGAAAGAGATAATATAATATATTATGACAAAATTACAATATAAGTTATATAATCACAGTTTTATATCTTATTTTAAAAAATCGACATGTACAGTGGATCATTACATCACCATGAATATGACCAATTAGAGTCAGACCTAACAATAAAAGCTAAACAAATATATGAAATGGTAAACAAAATATAGATTTTGGAAGAGTGAACCAAATGTATTTTAAATACTGCATATTGCCATGTAGACGTCTAATCAAGTTTACCTGATTAAAAAAAACAACACTTTTTAATTTTTTTTTGTCTAGCCTACATTTTGTCCACATGAAGGCCTATAAATTATAAATATAACATTCTTTGAACCAGAAGTTGATGCATTTGTGTACTTGCTAACTTACAACTCTTCTTAGCAGTTTAACTTCATAAATGAATGCTTCTCCATTCACATTAATTCCTTTGATGTTGTCAACAGCACCTCTTGCTTTGAAGCTGGTGAATTTTTTACCATTGATGTAAATCTGAGTAAAAGAAAAAACATTATCAGATAAACATGATACTGTCCAAATGAAATGCAAGGAGGAAATAATCATGTAATTATTTTAGAATAAAATCCTTATTGAATTCCATCTGAGAAACTAATAAAACATAACATTATAATGAAACACTAACAAATTAAAAGAAAGGTTTCGCTGTTTTGCCCTGTTTCATGGGGAGCTTTGGAATATTCAGTTTTCTTTCTACCCCATAATATTTCATCTGACATAAGCAGACTGATTCAAAATCTGGAGTTTAAAGTAGATTGAATATATTTGTTATTGTATGTATTTTTTAACAATATGTTGTTTTTTTAAACCTTGAACTTCTTGCTTTTGTTGACAATCTCCACCTCAAAGGGTAACAACTCAACCATGGGGTTGGGAAGGCTGTGTCTTTCTTCCTCCTCCCAGTTTCCTCCCTCTCGACTGTTGAGCACAACTTCCCCTTGATCGCGACGGGGGTTGAAGTGAAGTGCAATATCATCATCAAGTGTGGTGCCATAGAGAAGATTAAGGGCAAATCTAAAAACGAAATTGTATATTTTAACAAAAAAAAAAAAAAAAAAAAAAAATAAAAAAAAAATTTTATATTTTAAAAAAAAAAAAAAAAAAAAAAAACTTAACAATTATGGAAACAGAGCAATCTTATCTTATACCAGCTATATCTGTATAAAGAAATTTCTCATTTTATAAAAAGGGGCTTATTCAGATTCTTTAACTTGACTGAAATGGATATAAGGCCATATTTACATTGCTCACAACTAAATGCACGATGTTAAGTTTTGCAAAATAAGCTGAGAAAGTTTGAGTTTGGTTAGTTTAAGTACGGAAGGAGTCTTTGATTCAATAAATTCAGATGGTCACATTAAGTTCAAAGTTACCTCTGGCCTTCTGGATAAAAGAAACCTTTCACAACAATGAGATCACTCTTTTCCAGGCCAGATGGAATGTGTTTGATGTAGTCATCTGGCTGAAAGACCAACACGAAATATTTTATTGACTAACAGAGAGCTCAAACTATTTTGATCAGGGGGCAGTAACTGATTTAATTTTTTTAGTAATACTTCATCATCTATAATAATAATTGTAGAGTGGAAATTTGTTCGCCCTGCTCAAGAAAGGTAATACAATTTAACCAATTTTACTTTTTTACAGCCGAACTCCCTTAACTAAAGCTTTTGTAGCTTTTGTAAAAGAAATGAAATTTTATTATATCAATTTTTAAAATCAATTTATCATTTATTTTGCAATGTAGTATGATGATGATGATTCCAGATGGCGCTCCATATATCCATAAATGCTTAGTAAAACAACCAAAAGTTGGTACACAGCGCTGTGGGTTACAAACGTATTCTTTTGGTGCATACATGACCAAGTGCACAATTTTTATAGATTACACACCTCATCTCATACTACACCACAATTTGGTTGTGTTACCCCATCAAGTTATTATAAAAGTGTTATTGTTATTAATCTGAGAAAATGTCCTTGGTCACAAGATAAAACTTTAAATATCATTTGAACAATTTCTTTACAAAAGACTAGTTGAGTCATTAAAAGTCATTGATAGTAATTGTGATGTTAATGAACCATTAGATAATATGCAATATTATATTGCTCCATTTATAATCATTTCATAAAAATAAACACCACAAAGACAGGAACACTGAAATTCTTATAGCAGTTCTAGATTATAAAAAATAATTTTTTGCTCCTTTGCTATTTTTCAAATTCAAAGTAAAAAACAAAACAATATAAATTAACAATAGTTAATAAATTATAATAAAGCTGAAATCTATTTAAAATTCTCCTACCCCAAGGCTGACATCTGTTACATGCTATGAAGTGAAGATTTAATCCTTATGTAAACGATGTATTTAACAAAAAATATTCTTAAGAAGGCATAATTATCTGTGTACAATCAGAAAAATAACTTCAGTTACCAAAGGATCTGTAAACTCCACATCCATTAGAGTAACATCCCCATTGATGTCTAGGAAGAAAATGTCCTCAGGTGGAATGCGAAAAGCATATGAAGTGAAGAATTTCTCATTCACATAAATCTAAAAAGACATATGACAAGAACTTTTTATTCATTATTAAAAAAGAAATAAAGTTATGGTCAATTTACATAATCCGTGCCACTTTCGAGTTTCTAGTTATTTCTGTCCACTTTATTAAGATCATGCCATGTAAAACGTAATAATCAAGGTGGCATAAAATATATTATTAACAAGAGAGTAAATAATTATTAGTAAAAATTCAAGGAATATTTTAATTTAAAATAATAAATATTTTCTGATTTTATTTTTTTACTCACTTCAAGTACTTCAACACATTCAGAGTAGATAATAGTATAAGAAAAGTTAATACGTGTAACTTAATTTAAGTGTTGGATAGTTAAGGCCAGGGTAGGAGCATCAAGACGTTCCGACCCTAGTTTTTACATTTTTTTAAAAATAGATTGTAAGCCTATGCAAAAATATTTTAATTTTATATCATGATTTTTTAATTCTATTTCCAACCTTTTATTTTCACGGATGCACTATTGCATGTTTATTAGTAATGGGTATACAACAAGTAAACTTTCCATTACCGGTACAAACAACTTACATTAAACTTTCCATCCCATGCAATAAAAAGAACGTCAAAGAACTGACTTCTCTGGAAGGGAAACCACCCCTGCCCTCTCTCCTCTCCTTGCCAGTCTCCAACTTTTGAGTTCAGAACAACATCCTCCTGGTCTTGTCGTGGATTGAAATGAATGCCAACAGTTTCTCCATCATAATCAGCATTAAAGTTAATTTGAAATCTGTATAAAATATTCAAATACAAAACTGAAAAAAACACACAAAATAGCAATATGTCTTAGTGGTGAATTATATATTTTCAGAAATGTGTTTATCTGTTAAAAATACATGAGTAACTCTTTTCTTCTTAGATTAGATTGAAAGAAATTTTGTTTCAAATATAAGCTGGGGACTAAATTTTAGCTTTCCTTTATAAGCAGAAACACAACTCAATTCAAGTGTGAAGTTGTTTTTAAATGTGAAACAAGTGGGCATTGTAATTGGAAAATTTAATCCAAATGCTAGCATCCAAAATTTATAATTTCAAAATTTTAGATTGATAAATTTTCATTGTTTGTAGCCACAGATTTTGTCATAACCCTCTTTCTGCCATTTGGTGGTAAGAGCTACATGACACATCTTATAGAACATTTGATTAAAAAAAAATTGTTCTTACCTATCAGCATTGTCATTGACGAATCCCCTGACTCTAAGGGCTTTACCCATTTTCAGTCCTCCTGGAAACTCACCTCGGTACGGGACATGCTGTTTTGTATGGAGAAGAATTAATTTGAGCTCCATCAGGTTATGTGTACAGAGATTAAACACAGATTTTAACCAAAAAAATGAAACTCAACCTATATAAATTTGGAACTAAATGGAAGCCTTTTAAAAAGCTTTCCAACCCACACCCTTACACAAATTTATCATGGAAATTAAAAAAAAAATGGTTTTCAGGAAGCTCTAATTTTATTACTTTTAAAAAAAATATCAGTAAATAGGTCATTTTCAAATTTATAAAAATGGTTTCAGAAATAACAAACATAGAAATTATTTTTTTAAAAATTCATTATATACAATGAGCTTTTCTCAACAATTTTATGGAGATTAATTGTTATAAATGGGTCATATACGACTTATATATCTACCACCGATATTCATTAATGATTTAGATTTTTCAGTTAACTTACACAAGAGTTCTGAATGGTGGATTCATAGTACTCGGCCCCTTCGCTGAGTTTCAGGTATCTGACAGCCTGGTAAGACAATCGATGGTTAAACTCGATGAAGTAGCGTCCATTAACCAATATGACATATGCATTAGGACCAACATAGATCCTGATGGTGAATTTTGAGCCTTGTGAGAAGGGGAAGAAAGGAATGTCCAGTTCCTCGCCCTGCCATCCACCCTGGTGGGAGTTACGGACCACAGTTTGAGAATCTGTTCGAGGGTTGAAATGGAACGCCACATCACACCCATCCTCTTGCTCATTTTGGAGGTTGATGTGAAATCTTGAAATGAAAAGTTGATTTGTAATACATTGATGATAAAATCATTAGTTATTGTAAAGGAAAGGGTAGGGTTGTTTCCTTTTAAATTACCCTTTTTTTGTTGTTTCCCCCTCACTTACCAACCTAACCCCCTCGAACCAGCAGACCCAGCTGTGTCATTCCTCTGACGCACCCTGCACGAAGAAGACTGAATCTACCAAACAAGGGGGTCACATGTGTCAACAAAATTAAGCTGGACGCACAATATGAAAATGCCAGAAGAAAGAGTCCATAAAAAGTAAGCAGTATCTAAAAAAATAATTTTCTGATTGCTCTTTTTCTAATATTCCAGCCTATGAATTAACTTTATAAATATTATAATAAAAGTTTCTTTATATTTCAGATCTGGGATTCTAAAACTTTTATGGAACGAATTATCCACATCGTGCATGTAGTAAGGACTGGTTCTCACTTTTTTAATTATCTTTTGAAAACATTTTTTTACCCTCTGAAGACCGACCAGAGGTTGAGTGCTTGCTTGCCTGTGACCACCACTTAGAGTTGCAAAAACAAATTTCAGCTATGCTTTCAACTTTGACCTCACATTATCAATTAAAAACTAAAGCAACAACAAATTTGAAAATTTGATCTTTACCTTTCTTGGTCATAACCTACTCTGCCCCTCACTACAATTTGTGAACCAATATTCAGACCACCTGGAATGAAGGTGTAATCAGGGACGCTCTGAAGACAAAAATGGCAACAGACATTTAAGTACGTATTGTCTAATTAAAAGGAAATGTACTTGAATATATGATGTTAAGTGGGCGATAGGGATCCTATTTAGAGGCAAAAGTCATGTAGAGCCAAGACAATGAAAATCTCCACTAACTAAAGAAAGTGGTCAGTTGCTGCACATGAGAAATAAACTCCTGATATATATTATATTATCACCATTTCCTATTTTTAATGAAGTCGAGTTAAATGAGTATTTCACCATTTCATTCTAAAGTCTACTGTGACTACAGTTTTCCATCCATCCCTGTGGCACTACAGACCACGTAGGGCTTTGGCCTGCCTCACTGCTTCTTTCCACTCAGACCTAACTAATGCTTTTCTTTTCCATGCTTGGATTCCCAGTTGTTGTAGACCTTTTTCCACATCATCCATCCATCTAAGCCTAGGTCTGCCTTTGAGTCGTTTTCCTCTGGGGTTTTGGTGATGCACCCTCTTCACTCCTCTGTCATTCTCTCTCAGTGTCCTGCCCAGTGTAGCCTACCCTTTTAATTTCTGCTATCATGGGATCCTGATATAGACTGTACATTTGCATGGTTGGTTTGTATTCACTATCCATATTCATTCTTTGTTGGTCATAATATTTTCCTGAGAACTTTTCTCTCCCATGTGTTTAATAGGTTTACTGCCGTTTTTGTTAGGGTCCAAGTTTTGCTTGCATATGTTACAACTTGTCTGATTAGTTTCATAAATAGTTTTCTTTGCTTCTCTTGTAATGTTTTTACGTCTGAGTATTTTCTAACTATTGAAGTATGCCCTGTTTCCTGCTGATATTCTTTCTTTTATTTCTGCTAGTAATTTGTTTCTTTCATTTAATAAATATCCTCGGTATTTGAATTGATTTACCTTTCAAAAGGTGTGGTTTCTAATTTTAATGGCTTCATCTGTCCGTTCTTCTCTTATCATAGTCATGAATTTTGTTTTTTCGTTGTTAATTTCCAGCCCTGCTTGTGGTGATGTGTCTTCTAATTCAATAAAGGACTCTGATATGTCTTAAATTAATACTTTTCTCTAGCAGTGCTATATCATCAGCACATGCAAGATACTGAAGGGATTGATTTTAGAGAGGGCTCATTGGTTGTGGGTCTTGGGTTTCCCTCAGAAAGTATCGTGTTATTGTTCCTCTGGTGTCAATATTTACGTATGGTATGCGATAAGCTTCTAATAACTCTCTCTAAGTCTAATGTTAGGTTTAAATAGCACAAGAAAGAGTCTCACTGTCTTAGGCCTCGTCTAATCTGAAATTCCCTTGAATATTTTCCTTGGTTTTGCTTTTTGAGTTGTTAAATGTTACATGTATCATCAGTCTTGTCAATTTGTTGGGTATGCCTGTGACTACAGTCTACAATGATAAAATTACATATTAATTAACTTAGCATATTGTGACCAATGACAGTATCTTGAGTATTGTCACTCACAGCCACGCACTGGACATCATGCACACAGAATAACGATAATGCTTCGATGTATTTCATCATATAACATGACAATGTCGTAACCAGGGCCGTGCGAAAGGAGGGGGTGTTGCCAATGCGGCGATCTCCAGTGTCAGGGGGCGACTTAATCGTAAATGGTTCTTAAGTTGTGTCACTTTAGTTTTAACATTTTATCAAAATAACCAATACAACACATTTGAAAACTAGGGAGATCATGTAACATGCCAGATACACGGGAAAACACATTCACAATAATAAGATTAGCTACGGTATTGATATTTTTTTTTTCGCATCGTGAGCTTGTTTGATAATTTAATTATTAAAAGTCATGATACAAATAGGATAAGTTTTGATATACTTTCCGTTTCATGATAACACAGTGTTAATTAGGCCTACTATCTTCTTTAATCACTGACTATCAAGTTATTTTTATTTTAAACAATACGTCCATGAGATTCAGATCATTAAGCCAATCAGGCATCATCTGATTTAAAAAAAAAAAAAAAAAACAAAAAAAAAAAAAAATTTAATCACTGAATATCAAGTTATTTTTATTTTAAACAATACGTCCATGAGATTCAGATCATTAAGCCAATCAGGCATAATCTGATTTAAAAAAAAAAAAAAAAAAAAAAATGAAAGAAAGATCAATAACTATAAACAATGAAAGTGATGGGTTGGTATAGCCCGGTGTCATGCACGTGTTCTGACAAAAAAAAACCCAAAAAACAACAACAAACAAACAATGCCTTGAAATATTATCCTAGATGTAAAATTGCACGCTGGGCAGTGAGTCATCTCCATCACTTCCAAATTTAGTAATGGCGTTATTAAATTAAATCTGTCACTCGTTAAAAAAAATTTAATATGTAAAGTTTGTTCTGCATTCAAATTCTGTGAATCCACCTTTAAGGGAAAAAACAACAATCTATGCGACATTGCTCTGTGCAATCTTCTCAAGGTAAATAGCCTACTATACGACATGGGCTGGAGATTGTTCGTGTCACTCTATTGCTTTACTATCCTTGGATCCAGGGCCGAGCCGACCAAAGATGACACACCTCAATACATAGAAAGAAGTGTCGCCCGGGGGGCGGACCAGTAAAAAGACTATTTTGACGTTTCTTACTTTGTGAAGTACATGGACTTTAATCGTTCAATTCACTCTTAAGATCCCATCTAAAGACGATTATGACGCCCCTCTCCCTTGACGTTGGCGCCCGGAGCAAGTGCCCCATTCGCCCCTAGCTTACAGCCCTGCTTGGATCAAACCTTTCATTCTATGACCTATGATAATGACCTTTTATCATTCTTATTTGTCTCTTAGCGAGCCCCGGTTAAAAAAACAAAACAAACATCGCCACCACCATCAAGAAATCTTTGGCGTCACCGAGCACGCTACAATCGAACATCACACACAACACGTGCGTGTCAATTTTTTCTTACTGTATTTAATGACAACCATTTGCAGATCTCATTGTGAATAATTAGAGATATTTTAATCCCGTCGATCTTCTTATGGTCGGCTAAAGTCGGCTTTACTGTAACAGTGACGTTTTATTGTAAGAATGAGATTTGATTGTAACAATGAGATTTGATTGTAACAATGAGATTTGATTGTAACAATGAGATTTGATTGTAACAATGAGATTTTATTGCAACAATGAGATTTGATTGCAACAATGAGATTTGATTGTAACAATGAGATTTGATTGTAACAATGAGATTTGATTGTAACAATGAGATTTGATTGTAACAATGAGAATTTGATTGCAACAATGATATTTGATTGCAACAATGAGATTTGATTGCAACAATGAGATTTGATTGCAACAATGAGATTTGATTGTAACAATGAGATTTGATTGTAACAATGAGATTTGATTGCAACAATGAGATTTGATTGCAACAATGAGATTTGATTGCAACAATGAGATTTGATTGTAACAATGAGATTTGATTGCAACAATGAGATTTGATTGCAACAATGAGATTTGATTGTAACAATGAGAATTTGATTGCAACAATGATATTTGATTGCAACAATGAGATTTGATTGTAACAATGAGATTTGATTGCAACAATGAGATTTGATTGCAACAATGAGATAAGAAATCAACTCACCAGTTTTGTTTTCCTGTACGCCATGCTGAGAGCCGATGTCTTTTAGTCTGAAGAGGTAGAAGCAGAAGAGAATATGTTAGTCGTTAGCTCAACTGAAAGTTTATCATTGTCTGAGTCTCCAAGGAAAAGGGGGAGAGGAGGGGGGGGGGGCTACGGGTTGAATGGTGTTCGTGACACATGTCCACTCAGTATAAACACAAGGATCATGTGTGATACGACGACGTGTGTGTGCGTGTGTGTGCGTGTTGGTGTTGGTGCGGTGACTGACTGGTACGTTAAACAAATGATGTGCTGGACAACGCTGACTGAGAGGCACATGGATCAAAATAAGTGCGAACATACACAAGAGCCAATGTTATGGATACAAGAGGGACTGTCATGGATACATGCGAGTGGAGAGGTGGATAACGAAGAGAGCTTGAATGTATTACTGAGTGGAAATACATACATGAGTAATCTGCATCGGAGAATGTCAATATATAAGAGAATTAGGATACACAATAGAAAGGGGATACACAGAGAATGTTGATAATAAGAGGATGTTGATACACAAGCTAATGTTGATAATAAGAGAATAATGATACATAAGAGATTGCTGATGCATAAAATGATGATACATAAGAGGATGTTGATACATAACAGAATCATGATACATAAAATAATGATGATACACAAGATGATGGTACATTAGAGGATGTTGATACATAAGAGAATCATTACACATAAGAGGCTGTTGATTATAAGAACAATGATGATACATAATAGGATGTTCATAATAAGAGAGTGATGATACATAAGTGAATGATAATATATAAGAGGATTATGAAACGTAAGATAATGATGATCTATATGAGGATGTTGATGTATAAGATGATTGATACATAAGATGATGTTGATAATAAGAGGATGTTAAAACATAAGATAATGATGATGCATAAGAGAATGCTGATACATAAGAAAATGTTGATACGTAAGAGAATAATGATACATACGATAATGTTGATACATAAGAGAATGATGATACATATGAGAATGATGATACATATGAGAATGATGATACATAAGAGAATGCTGATACATATGAGAAGGATGATACTTAAAGAGAATGTTGTTACTTAGAGAAGGATGATAAATAATGGAATGATGATACATTAGAGAATGTTGATACATTAGAGAATGATCATACATAAGAGAATGATGGTACATCAGAGAATGATGAGACATCAGAGAATGATGATGCATAAGAGAATGTTGATAAATAAGATAACGATGATACATAATATGATGTTGATACATACGATGATGATAGATAAGAGGATTTGATTATAGGAGAATGTTGATAATAAAAGAATAATGATAATAAGAGGATGTTAATAATAAGAGGATGTTGATAAATAAGAGAATGATGATAAATAAGAGTATGTTGATACATAAGATGATGATAGATAAGAGAATGTTGACAATAAGAGGATGATGATACATAACATAATGATGATACATAAGATGATGAAGATGAAAGAATGTTGATAGATAAGATAATGTTGATAAATAAGATGATGACATATAAGAGAATGTTGATAATAAGAGGATGTTGATACATAAGAGAAAGTGATACATAGTGAATGGCGATATAAAAGAGAATGGGGATACATAGATGATGATAATATGGTGTTGAAACATAAGATAATGTGGATAATAGAGTGGATACATAGAGAATGTTGATACATAATATAATGTTGATACACAAGATAATGTTGATACATAATGGAATGTTGATAGATAAAAGAACATTAATACATAAGAGAACTTTGATACGTATGGGAATGTTGATACATAAAAGACTAAAGAGTGAAGATATATATAAAAGAGAAAATGAAACCGGTCATAAAACTCGTAGTTAAACTCAATGGTCTTCCATTTTCTATCATTCTTACAAATGTATGTTGATTTATTCGCTATTGAACCCATTTAACCCAAACGAACCTATATCTTTCTATAGGCTGTATTTATCATGTACCATTACATTAACTCAATACCTTTTGACTGAAAACGCGTTGTAGGCGCTATTTGTTTCACTAAATCAATGTTCCCTGTGGACAATCCAGATAAGGAATACTATAGTAAAGCGGTTTGATCAATGTATTCCCTGTAGAATGGTTTGGTAACATTAAAAAAATTCATCTGGAGATAGCACTGGGGCAAAGCCCACACATTGATCTTTACAGAGAGACAGACTTAGGCGAGAAAGCGGGGAAATAAAAGAAAATAATTTAAGGTCTATGACAAAGTTTCCCTAGCAAATCTCGGCCAGACATAACAGTGTCACTGACAACTACTTGGTAGTCAAAAGGGGAAAAAATTTATAATTTTTTATTAGATACGAAATAGTTCATAGCTATTTTACTGGCAGAAAATGAAATAGTTGCACTAAAATAGTAAGCGTACTTAATGAAGTAAGTTGAGCGATTTTTGGTCTTTTTGGCCAATTGGGACAGTCGTAATCTTGACGTCTGAAAGTGTGTTGGTGTTTGTGAGTGTGTGTGTGAGTGTGTGTATCTTGTTATCAGAATAAATTTTGACGCGTGAAAGTTCAACGAGGAAACAGACCAGTTCAAACGAATTGTTTAACTTTCTGATGTCATGGCAACAGGAGAACTCATTTGGGATAGAGTTGAGAAATAGCTAGTCTGAATGAACCGCATATATTTGGCAGTCATGGCCACACCCCTTTTTCCGTGTAGCAGGCAAGATTATTAAATGAAAGATTTTGTGATTTACTGACCCCAGGGTTTCTTTCAGCTATATCTCCGGGGGGTTGGGGCACTACCCAGCCTCCCGGGGAAAGCCAAGTGCCCCCCGGAGCAAAAATATGTCCAACAAGAAATCAGCTGGCACTGCCCCCCCCCCCCCCCCCAAAAA